TTAGGGTTTCGGGTCTAGGGTTTCGGGTCTAGGGTTTCGGGTCTAGGGTTTAGGGTTTCGGGTTTAGGGTTTCGGGTCTAGGGTTTCGGGTCTAGGGTTTAGGGTTTCGGGTTTAGGGTTTCGGGCCGAGGGTTTAGGGTTTCGGGTTCAAGGGACGCCATTGAAAATGACGGGTTCCTAGCGCTTCATAATATGGGGGGCCACAGTAACCGGAAATCAATATAGGGCTCGCTTGCAGTCTGCAGCCGTACTCGAAAACAGCGTGTGTGTCTGTGTGTATACATAAACAGAAAATAAGAGAGAGAGAGAGATATATATATATATATATGTATGGATACACGGATACATGTTTCGAATATGCGGTGTCTGGTTGGTCGGAGTCGCATCACCATGAAGATGTCTGCGTTGTTGGCCAACGCGGCTGCGGCCTGAACAAGTCGTAGTGAGAAATTCCTAAAGACGTCCACGCCGAAATGCGCCGCCGTGATTTCAGCAAAACCAAACCCTTCGCGGTTTAGGTTTAGGGTTTAAGGTACATATACCATATAAGGATTCGTAATATAAGGGTATAGGGCGTACCATACTGTGCTTATAAGGGTCCTTCGCGCTTGCAGTATACAGCTGATTAACCAACTTCCCTCAGATTAATCTAAGGTTGAACCCATGGGCCCCTAGTATGGGCCCGGTCCCTAGAAAAGCGTAAGGATCCATATTAGGGGCCCATACTTCTAACCTTAGAATTAAGGATTGTTGGCAGGGATCCCACGGCTCGTGAAGGATGTGCCAGTCAGAACTCGACTTGAACCGAGAACACGAGTCCTTTTTCTGTCTGGTGCTTAGTAGGGAATGGGGGAATGGATCCCTATGATAGTCCATTAAGGTCCCTTATAATAGTCGCTATAACCCATTCCCCCATTCCCTACTAAGCACCAGACAGTTTTTGCTATGTTGTCTTCTGCTATACTGTAGGGGCCTAAAGAAATTACCAATACTATTTGGGGGCCCAAAACTCTATTCTTATTATTAAGGCCCCTACATTACTGTACTATACGATATTGCAGCCCTGTTCAAGTTGCCTCCATCGACTGGATGTAAGGAAGCATGCCATCGCGCGGCTTGCCGAAGTAGGACATCACTATCGCATACCTCAGATCTTGCATGCCTTTGTGCACTCATGCTAGGTCTTTAGGAGTTGGGTGACGAGGTTTTACCTGCAGGCTTTCAGCCATCTCATCTTGTGCTTCGTGTGTGCTGTGGGTGATGACACCTGTATGGCCTCTATGTATGATTGGTTTGGTGTCTCTGCGAGGGTTCGGATGCTAGGTACTTACCCTTCGCATCAAAATAGGGTCTTGGGGCCCAAAAGCCTTAAAATATGAGTTCTTTCAGGGTAAGGGTTAGAAGTGAAGAAGCCATCCGGGCTAAGGAATGAGGCCTAAATCCTCAAGACCTACCTGGACTCTAAAGAACCTACCTTTTAGGGTACCTTATTATGGCTTCTTTATAGAAGTCCTGAAAAAGGTAGGTGATTTAGGGTTAAGGCAAGGCCTAAGAACCTAAAGCCTACACAGACGCTTTGCGGGATATTATGCGGAAGGCTTCCATAAGATCGTGTCTAAACTCACAGCTTCAAAACTTCTCTACTCGAACAACCTAAACGCCACACACCAAGCCATCACGCCCCTAATCCTAAAGCTCTAAGCTTAGAAGCCCACACCCTGTAGGCCCTAACCCAGACCCTCAGGAAGGAGCTCAAAAGGTAGATCCCCCTAATTTGGGACCCTAGCCTCTGTGGGGGTTTCCGAAAATAGGGGGTACCTTATTTTGGGATCCTTATGATAGTGATCCTACTATTTAGGGTACTATATTAGGGTCTCCTATTTTCGGAAACTCCCCTGTAGGAATCCCATTAAAGGATCTACTTTTTGGATCCTCCCCGGGGAAGCCGCCGTGGCGCTTCCCGTTCGCGGGGCCCTTGGCCGCGCATTGGTCCACATCTAAGCAATCCACCTGCCGTCACCTAAACTCTAAACCCTAAACCCTAAAGTCTCTAAACCCTAAAGTCCCTAAACCCTAAACCCAAACCCTAAAGGCTCTGCGGAACCCACGTTTTTGTTAAGGGCTTTAGGGTTCCGGGAAAAAGGTTTGGGGGCAGAAACTGCCTGGTTTGGGCGTCCGAATCTCCGGCTTCCATGGATCATACTTTAAGGCGTTTAGGGTTTAGGGTCTAGGGTTTAGGGTTTTGGGTTTAGGGTTTAGGGGCTTTAGGGGATTTAAGAACTCAAAACCTACTTTTTTGTAGGGTCCCTATAACTCCCATATTAGGATTTATAATAAGAACCTACAAGAAAGTGGGGTTTGGGGTTCTTAAGGTATACTACGTAGGACCCAGCAGAACCGACTTTTTTGTAGGTTCTTCTTGTAAAGCCTAATGTGGAATTTATAGGGGCCCTACAAAGAATAGGTTTTGGTAGGTTAAGGTACGTTAACCTAGCAGAACCTATTTTGTTTTGCAGGGTATTCATGCATTCCATACTATCGTCTGCAATACGAGCCTACCAAAAACAGTTTAATTGTGGTGGTTTAGGGAACATCCTGCGCTGGAGATTCTGATGCCAACACGCGAAGCACCTGCAGAGCTGCTTCCGAAGGCTCGGGGTGAAGGTCAAGGCTCTTTTTGGATAAACAAAATTCCGTTTCAAGCCCAGCCCAGCCCAGCCCAGCCCCAGCCCCTTGGGATTCAAGGCATGTCTGGGTCCAGTCATTCTGAAACCCTAAACCTTAAACCTGAAACTATCCAGATCACAGAGATCCAAGAAGTAGGTCAGTCGTTTCTAGATCCGGTCTCTAGGCCGTAGAGAGCAACAGCCCTAAACCCCAATAGAGATTGATGTATGTATGGGTTTCCGAAAATAGACAAGGATCCTATTGTCTAGGGTTATATGTTGCTGTACACCATTTTCTGAAATTCTTGCTGTCCCCGATGTCATTCATGTAGGAGCCTTGACAATATAGAATAAGGCTTTTGGGGGATGATACTCTGTATCTACATCAAAGAACCCTAAGGAACAGTATAGCTAGTTACTCAGGAGCCCCTTTATTGCTCCTGGGATCTGGACCTGGCCTCCTTCTCGCCGTGGTAGCAGCAGTGAGGGCAGGCCTCATCGGGGCTCTGTTGAGGGTTTAGGGATTTAGGGCTTACCTTAAGAACCCAAAACCCACTTCTTTGTAGGTTCTTATTAAAACCCTAATATGGGATTTATAGGGACCCTACAAAAAAGTAGGTTTTGGGTTCTTAAGGTAGGGTTTATTCTGGCGAAACGACACCTACAAGCCCGAAACCCTAACCACCCTGACTTGCAGAGCAGGGAGGCGAGCTTGTGCTGGCTTTTGCCACTCAATCGCTGATCCGTAAGGCCTATCTACAACAAGCATCCATTAACATCACCAGGAAATTGCCCAGACCTTCGAAAACAAGCTTAACCCCACCCATGTCAGAACCTCGTGAAGTACAACGCCCAAAACCACTCTACAGTTCGATGGCTCCGAAGAAGACCTGGAAACCTCACCGCACGAGCGCAAAACCAACTTAGGTCCTTTCATCTCTATAACCTCATGTACCTAGAGAGGTCTATATATAGTATACTTAGGCCGTAAGATACCTATATAAGAACCCGTTTAAGGTATAAGTATATACTTTACAGGTGCAGGGATCCTTCAAGACCCTGAACCCTATCGAACCCTTACAGGAGCTCTATGTAGGCACATGGAGCCTTAGAGAAGCGAGGAGCCTTCAACAAAAGAGCTCTATAAATCCGTTCCAAGCCTCTCGCATCGCAACTATCTGCAACTCTCTACTTGGAGGATCATGGGACTCATTTTTGAGTGTGTAACGAGGGGCTATATCTATATATCTATATCTATATATACAGCTGTAATTCTACGTATAGTCTATGCTTATCTCATGGCCCTATAGCTGCTCTGTTCCAAGATCCTTTAAGCCCCGAGCGCCATAGATGCCCTTTCAGAGCTAATTTGAGAAACCTTTTCAGTGACTAATGTAGGGGCCTTGATAATTACCTATACCATTTTTGAAGGTTCCTTGTTATAAGTATAGGAGAATATACCCCAAAACCCTATCCTAATTTTTCTGGCCCCTCTATTCAGTCCCTAAACCCTAAACCCTAAACCCTAAACCCTAAACCCTAAAGGGACCCGGCCCAAGCCCCCAAACCCCCGAATCCTACCCGGTCCTGCCTTCGGCACCACAGGCAGCTGGTGCAGCTCAATGTGCTCGGGGCCTTGCCTGTGTAGTATGAGAATTTCCGAAAATCAGGGGTACCTTATT